GAGATCAAGACATGTCTAAAATGAAACATTTGGATGGAGACAAAGGGGAAAAGACAATTTGGTAAATCAGTATATCGAGAACAGTTTTATTTTTTGATAGCTCATTCTTATAGTTGCGGAGGTGTTTTTTGGTCTTAACTCTACATAGGGCTCTGACAACTCTACATAATACTCTGCCAACATTGCATAGGATTCAAAAGAATTATCACAACTAAAAAAAGATTAACCATTTAACTAGAAAATATTTTAGACATTTAGTAGCAATCTGGAGATCTCTGTCCAGATTCAAATCAACTAAAATAATCCGATGTCTAATAAATTCATTTTGCAGCAAGGGTTTCCCCAAATAACTTGAAAATAAAATTTTACTACACGTTGTAATTTCCATTCATTGCTTTCTGGGGACCTAATTTGTACAATATTAAATGCCAGGGAATTATTTAATGGAGAAATGACTTAGTAAAGCTTATCTACTTACAAGTTCAAATACTCTTCATATTTCATGTTTAAAGGAATATTGAAATAACATTAAATCAGTTTCATACTCATTCTTATATTCTCATTACTTGAATAACTTGGGGCTAAAAAGACAATGTTTTAAAATAATCATTTCTAACATTCTTGTTAAAATACTTCTATTCAAGTAACAAACGGAGAATTAAAATAGCATCACCATGGGATATGTTGAGAAACAGCCCTCACAATGTAATGATGATTAAATTTGAATTCACAAAGACGTTTTTCCTTGCATTTAGATGTTGCTACTACTGCACATGAGTTTGCGTTTGTCTTGATTTATACAGCTATTGCATGATGTATCAAAGAATACACTTCAGCAAATTCTACTCATATCTCTATCTTTAAAACACTGTTACTCTAAAAAATAAGGTAGACTGATGACAAATGTAGACAAGTGTGAAAAATACATTGTAGTCAATATCCAAACCAAACTTTCATTTGAAATTAATATTACAAAATGTTTAGTAGGATTAAAGGTTTTTTCTGTTTTATCAGTTAACTTGTTATTTTCCAGGATTCACAACATAATCACAAAGAGTGTGTCATAATTTCAAAGACTGGCTCAACATCAGAAACAATGTCATGGGCAATGACCAGTACATTCCAATAGTCTGTTTTTATTTTATTACCATGAAAATTATTTCCTTTGTGTTCTTTCTTTCTTTCTTCAGACTTCTTTATGAAAGACTTGTGAAGTTTTACAGATTGTGCAATGAATGCTTTTAAATTATTATGCATATAATGGCTTTTCAAAACTTGCATTTATCTAGAGTCAGAACAATTAAAACCCAGCTACTAGGTGGCATCAAATAAAAAGGATGCTAAATGCCATCTGATGTTTCTAACAATAACCTTCTGGCATAATATAATCCTACAGTATCTTCTAGATGATCAAATAATATATACTATTTAGGAAGCTTTACTATTAGGTATTTAATTATTTGACATTGATCATCATTGTATAATAAATAATAATATCAGTTCAAAAACTTCCACTCAAGGAGAGCAGTTTATTTTCTAAACCTATTGAATAAATCATGGCCTTGAGACCATCTAATTTATTTCTTAATAAACCTAATATCTTCTCTGTGGCCAGAATATAGAATACATGTGTACATAACTGTGAGATTCATGGCAGGAGACAAGTTCCACTTTCTAGATATATGACATTATGTAGGTTACTGAGCTTCTAGTTCTCAGGCCTTTTCTTTGTAAGATGGGAAGATAAATCGTACCTGCCTCTACACTTCAGTGTCTTTTTCAGGGCCCAAATAACTAATCCAAGGGAAAATGTGAGGCTTCACTAAGATATTGCAGCTATCATTGTGGCAAAAACAAGTGCTTCTTAATGTTATTAGCACACAATCTGGAATTCAAAGGTTGAGTCCTTTTTAAGAGCTATATACCAATTCAAATAGATAAAAATTTATTGTGTATTTATTCACCCATAACTAAATAGACATTTTAAAGTACAAGAGTCGTGTTTAAAACATTGTTTCTTTTATGAGAAGAAACAATAGTTTGTAATAACTAGGATCAGCATTTATATCAAAGTAGAGACAAATGGGATTACAGTTGTTTTAGGGAAACAGGAGAATACTGATACGGCTTTATTTGCTATTTCCGAGGATAATCCATGGTTCTTTGGACACGACAATATTTAACACTTCAAATGAATGTTCTTGTTTACAAAAAACTTTCCTACTAAAACAATCAAGAGAGACCACTAAAATTTTTTTAAAACAGTTTTTAACACCTTAATTTTCTACCTGTCATATTTTTACTGATGATTTTAAGCTTAGGAAATTGAAACTGTTTAACTACAGGCCAAAAGATTCCTTAAATCTTCACTTAATTGTCTCTTGAAGAAACAGTTAGGATAGCCAGCCTCTTTTGAAAACACGTTTGACCACATGTTTTCGTTTTAAAAATGTTTCCTAGTCCTTACCTGAGAAACAGGAACTGTGAATTGAGTCTTTTTATTCGTTTATTTTTCCCCAGAGATTTCAAAACAAACGATATATCTGAGTTTGTGCATATGCAGTTTGACCTTGAGTTTCTGGGCATTTAAAGAGGACGTCTCTACCCTCCACTCCTTCCTCATTTAAGTCATACTGCACCTGCCGAGAGTCTAGTCTGTCTCCTCCAAGGACGCAAGGGGTCGCCCCTCTACCAGGATTGCACCAGCAAACCAAGCCGCAAACGCAGACTCAAGTGCGAAGGAGCAAGAGCATCGCTGCGGGAGCTGTCTGCCAGTCCCACTCCCACAGAATAACCGGAATTTCAACCTAGTTCCACCCATTCCCTCTTTCATTCCCGCAACACAGAGGTCGCCTTTGACTTGGCCTTGAGATGATTAAGGCAGGTCGAAAAGCTGTTTGCCTTTGACTTCTCTCGGCCCAACTTAGAGGTGCATCATCCCACAGCTCCCTGAGACAGCGCCCCAGGAAAGCTTCCTGCGCCGTGGTCCTCGCTGGGGGAGGTGGGCATAAATGGACTACAAGCTTTCTTTCCTGTTTCTTCCTTCGGAATCAGGGGCCCCAAAACTGCAAAGCGAGACGCCTCTGACACTCAGTACCCTGTTTCTCCTTGGCAAGTGTGTGGCTCCCAGCCCGGGGGTCCTCGGTGGGGCTAAAGGAGGGAGCGTGCTCTGCGACGCCCAATGGGGACGGGCTGGAAGAGCGGATGGAAAGCAGAGTGGTCTGCGTTTCAGCTAGAGCGGATGGAAAGCAGAGTGGTCTGCGTTTCAGCTCGGGCTCTCTATGCCCACTGACCCCGAGACTCAATTCCCCAGGTCAGACCCTGGGAGGAGAGGAGGCGGGGACCGCCAGGCGCGTGGACACCGCTGAGCCCCAGGCAGCCCCTTCCGCGTCCGGGCCGGAATGAAAGAGTGGGTGGGGAGTTACCAGAGAACACATCATTTGGAGGCCAAGAATAATAAATCGGATGCCCTGACATATTTAGTTTGGGTTCTCCTACCCCCTGCTAGGCGATCCTAAAGGCGGTGAGGCCCGGCCAGGGCCCCTGTCGCTCTGGCCCTGCCACCTTTTTTAAAGGCAATTTTCAGGTGAATCAAACCTTGTCTGGCTGAGGCCAGCAATACAAAGGGAGCTTTCAGGGGACCCTCATGCCCAGGGGCAGGGCAGGGACAAACAGCGGCCGAGAACCAATTACTAAATTTCCATCTCACACAAGCCCGTGTTGTGTCCTCCGCGCTGCCCCGACGCCTGCCCAGAAAGACTTCCCGGGCGGGACACTGGGAGAGGGATCCCCTTGGGGAACCAGGTAGGGCCGCTGGGCATGGGCTGCACGCCGCGGAGGTGCGAGGGGCCAGAGCAGCAGCATCGCTTCCTGCCCCTTGCGAGCTCCAGGAGAGGTTTCCTCCTCCCTCTCCCCACCAGCGCCCCCAGCCATAGAGCCCGGGTCATCCCTGCTTTGCGATCTGCGAAAGGACTCCCCATGGAAACACAGACACTAGAGCAGCGAGGGCGCCAGGATGCCCTGGAGCGAGGAGAGGTGACACCTTCGCATCTGTCCCTTCATCTCGGGAAGATTCCACCTTTCAGACAGACCAACCCGAGCTGAGGCTGCCCTGGTGGTGTCCGCTTAATTCCAGCTACGGCACTGTCTTAAGAAGCCACCACAATCCAACCTTCCAAATAACAGCATTAAGGGCAGCGAGGAGGCGAATCTTTAGGGGGAGCTCACTCTCTGTACGTGTGTGTCTCAGGGGACACACTTGAAAGGGCCAGAGATGGTACAGATGCTCACATGTGACAGTCAACTCTGCACCTCCGGCTCCCCACAGCTGGGTTTCTGCTGTCTTCAACCCTCGGGCGTGGGACGTCCGGCAGCTCTGCAAACGCGCAGACACGCGAACCCCAGCGCCTCGCGCGCCCTTTGGCTCCGCTGGTGCGTGTCGCGGATGCGGCCGCTCAGGGGCTCGCTCCCTGGCTTCCTGGCCGGGTAGCGGGCGCTCGGCTACCGGAGTCTAGCCTAAGGGCCCAGCCGAGGTCTCCCTGCACCAGGCGGTTGCGCGAGGTGAGCGAATGCCGCGGCCGCGCCTCCCTCGGCATTTACTTAGGGGTCAGGGGCATCCTGCGTCTGGGCGTCCCAGTTGCCTAGGGCTGGGTGCCCCTGGCCGATCCTCAAAAGGAAAGCACAAATCCCGGGTGCGAGTCTAACCCAGGACCGAACTTTCCCGCGAACCTGAAGTTACCAGGGGGCGGGAGCCACCTTAGCGCCGCGTCCGCCCGCCCCTCGCACTGGCTAGGATGCTGCGGGAGGCAGTGGCGCCGAGAGGCAGGGGTGAAAGACGCCGTCCATACCCCCAGAGCCCAAACCCGCATCTCCTCTGGGAGGCGCAGGGCGCAGGGCGGGAGAATCGCTGCCGTTGGGAGCCGGCTCCGGACAGGCAAAGGGACCCGACAGGTGAACGCGGCGGGAGGGAGCAAACGCGTAAAAAAAAGCCCTGCACTTACTTCTTCGCTGGCGCCTTCCCCGGGAGGCGTTTTGGCTGCCGATGTATTCCATAAAGTTCAAAATGATAAAAAACCAAGAAATCAGTCGCAAGTGCATAGTAACCCAGTAATGCTTCCCTTCCTTTTCTCCTTTTTCTTTTGATTGTTAATTATATTTAATGTTTTTAAAATATATGTAGGTGTTAGGCGTATATAGAGAGTGCCCGAGCAGCGGGACTTCTCCTCTCACATCCGATAGGCGTGCTGTGATGGCAAGCGAAGCGGGGCGGGTGGACAGGGAAACCAACTATTGTACTTTCAAATTATCCAAGCACTGAACTGCGGCGGCTTCGTTGGGGTGGCTGGCATCGCCGCGAACCGGGGTTCCAGGAGCCGCCGGGGCGGCCGCAGGTAGCATGTTGTGCGGCAACTGCCGCAGGCGGGATCCGGGCGGGCGAGCGGCGGCGGCGGCGGCGGCGGCAGCGGCGGCCCCTTGGGCTCAGAAGCTGCGGCGGCAGCGGCTGCTGCAGTGGCAGGGGCCCCGGGAGCGCAGTGGAGCGGGCGCCGTCGGCACAGCGGCCATGGCCAAGGGGCGGCGGAGAGACCCCGAGCTGCTTCTGGCTTGCGCGAGCAGGAGACGCTCCAGTGTTGGGCTGGGCTCCCGGGAGCACCACATAGGGGAGGAGGAGGAGGGCAGGGAGGGGGGAAGGGAGAGGAGGGCAGGGAGGGGGAGAAGAGGGGGAATGGCTGTGGGGGGCGGGGGGAGCTCGGGGGCGGGGAAGGAAACTGCTGGAGCAACAACCCTGAGCGACCTCAATAACTTTCAATTTCAAGAGGGAAAGAGGGAGCTGGAAAAGTACAGGCGTTGGGATTTGGCAGAGGGACGGGAAGAGGCGCCTAAGGGGTCCCGGGTCTACAGCGCAGCATCTCTGGACACTGCAGTGACGGCGGGAGAACTCGAGCGAGGAGAATGGGAAAAGCAGTGCGTGCGAAGAGCCCCTCAGAAGGGCAGCTCCGGCGGGGAGACTTGGGCGCACTGGGGCTGGCAGGCAGTGTTGAGGTCGAAGACCCCCCACCCATTCAAGTTCGGCTTCTCTCCGCGGCCTCAAGCTAGGCGCACCCGGCTGTCGGTGGCCGTGCGCCCCTGCGCCCCTGTGCCCCGGCGCCCCCACCCCACTCCCAGCGCCGGCGCGCGACTACCCTCTCCCCCTTGGCAGATCGCTGGAGAGTTTCTGGCTGCTGACTTGCTCCCGGCTTTCCTGACCTTCTCCTCTGTTGCCTTTCTCCCTTTCTTTCTCCCTTTCTCGCTCTCTCTCTCTCTCTCTCTTTCTTTCAATAAAAGTGGCTGCAGTTGGTCGCCAGGCGGGTGGTCGGGAGGAAACTCTGTGGGTGCTGCCGGTCAGCTACTCTGAGGTTTACCTGCTCTGAGCCGGGAGGACCCAGAAGTGTGTGCGCTCAGGATCTTCCCATTGGAAATGCAGTTGTGCTACGGCCTTTTTTTTTTTTTTTTTTTTCCCCCAAACCAAGCCTTTTCTGTGGCTTTGGAAGATTCCTTTCCCTCTCAGCAATTCCCTCTATAGTCAGCTCGCCCCCCTTGGAGCTTTCTCTGCCACCCTCCGTCTCCCAGTGTTCTTGAGAGGACCTGCTGTACATATTGATACCACATCTGGAAGAGTGGGAATAAGATTTGGAAAGATTTTCCCAGTCTTGGAGAAGGAAGGGGAAGGTCCACTACTTTCTTATCTTCCCAGCCCAAGTGGAGGCCCAAGGCAGCAGAGAGTAAGATGCCCTGGCCCACCCAGGGATGGGAGAACAGAGGGCTGGCACCCCTGAGTGGGGCACACCCTGGTTGTCGGTAGTAAATGGTGAGCTTTCCTCGTCTTTTCTCTGGTAGCACTAGCCGGTGAACTTTTCAGTAATTACTGAAGAAGTATTTAGTCGAAAGTCACAAGCCTCAAGTGATTTTAACATAAGCCTGACTTATGTATTATATTTAACAGAATATCTGGAGGACTGCACTAGCACTACAGGTTAACACAGCAGCAAACTTCTGGGAGGTTACTTTGAAAGAGTCCCTGATTCATAGGTGCCTTGCTAATTTTTGTGCTCAGCTCAAATAATTCAATCTAAGTAAATTGCTAAAGCCTTGCAGAGAAACAAGTGACACTTGTACTTTTACCTCCTTCCTCCATTTGTAATCCCTATTACTGGATTTCCTTTCATTTATGTAAATTAGGTAAATTTACATGAATTAGAGCATTTTGTAAGTTTGCAATGCTACGAATTTTATGTCTCTGGAGTCCTTTACTGGTATATTTGTTATACATCCCAAAAGTAGGATAGAGGCAATAAAGTGGCCTGGATGCAAAAGGAAGGGAACATGAAATATGCATTATTTTCAAGATGCTAAAAATTAGAATCTGAGAGATGGTCTTTTGATGTTAATTATTTAATTAAATATCACTTATTATACTGCATGCTTGTGTTGGAATTTTGAAAGCAGGCATAACTTCCTTTAGGTTTGATATTATGAGGAAGGCAACACCCCAACAAGATTATGATTTTTGCCTTCTTTTTAAGAGTTCCCATTTACAACACCCCTCTTTCAGTGGTGGAACTTTTTCTGTACATTGTATACACATGTGTGTGCACACCCCCACATGTAGCCTTTCCACCCTTTATCTGTTGCAAAATGTCTACTTATAAATGACTGCGTTTATCACTTTGAACCAGCAAAGTTACAGATAACAGGACAATTCCAATAATGATTATTCAAAAAAGAAGCCACTCTATTTTACTATGCCTGTCCCCATCTGCTTTGCTTCCCTTCTTGCTTAATACCTCAAGTCCTGAATATCTGTACCATAAAACATGGGGGATTTAAAGACTATGGGAGGCTCCCTTTGAAAAGGACTCCAGAGACAGCCTTTCTAATCCGGGATACTTGAGCCGGATGGGATGAGATTGCAAAAGGGATGTGAAAAAGCAATTTGATGAACAACTTCAGGGAAATAAACATGAAGAAAGACACTTACTTTTCACTGTGCGGTTGTGCAGACATATGTTAGTTTGGAAGAGAACAGGAATGGCAGTGTAAGTAAATAAACAAACCCGATGAGAAGCTACGGTTCTTGAGCCATCCCAGAAAAGAAGTGCTAGATGCAGTGGGAAGGAAAAACTTGTCAAGGAATAAGCTCTGCTCAGAGGAAACATAAGGAAAACATTAAATAAAAGAGGAGAGTATTCTTTCTCTCTTGATGCTGTGCTTTAGAATAACTTTTTCCTGATCCGTGTTACCATCATATTAAATGTGTGTTTACTTGCCTGGCTGAGTTTTACTTTCCCTCAACTGTCTTAGAAGCTTATGGAAAGCATGCCATGGCATATTTTCTGCAACATAGTACCTTTTTTTTTTTTTTTTTCTTCAAACAAGAAAGCAACACTTACAGAAGCCTGTGGCTGCCAGTGGATTTCAGAACTCAAGCCTAAAGAAAGTTAAAAACCATAGGCTCAGCATAGAGGTCAACGTTTGCTTATTTTTCTCCAAAACACATTAGTTCCAGGGAGTTTTGGATAACCAGGAGACTGGGAGACTTGGGCCAGGAGAATAGAATAGCTTTGAACAAAGGTAGGAGGCTAAGCATATCCAGACTAGTTACTGCAACTTCTCATCTCTCCTTCCACTTATTCCAACCAGGCAGTGACAACAGTAACAAGTTATTTTTATCCATTGCAGCAGTGGCACTCTAAGGAAAGAAAATGATTGTCATATTGTTGAATCTATACTGCAAATATGTGAAAGGGGGTGTGCTCCAGAAAGAGAGAGCAAGCCCAATAGGTTGGAAAGGGATATAACTAGTAGTGATGAGAGATGTTTGGCAAAGTTGGGGCTGACATCAGTCATTATACCACAGAGCGAATATGCAGATTCTGAAAATGCGCAGCTCTCCAGTTACTCAGATCGTGAGGCATCTGAGTCAACAAGTCAAACAGGGTACTGCTGGCGGGGTGTGTGTAACTGATGCAGCTAGACGTCATCCCTGAAATACAGAGTGGGGAGCAGCATTTAAACACCATTGAAATTAGTAGATGAAGGAAAACTACTATTTTTAGAGAGAGAAAGAAAGGAGACAGAATTATTGTAGCTATTTAGAAAGTGATTATATGGTTATATAGCATTAAGAAAATGAGAAAATCAAGACCCATGATGGATTACTTTCTGTCAACAAGAAAGAATGTTCTTCCTCTCAGATGAAGTTATGGGACATTTATGTAATTGTGGCAAGCACCATCTGGTATGCCTATGTTTAAACTTCTTTCACAAATCAGTTGATTGCTGGACTCACTTAAAATGTGAATATCCAATAGTACTCAATATGAAGAATTTAACAGCTCAGAAAACATTGCATGATCATGGAGGTTTAATAGAAAGAGGCTGTATGTTGTAGTAAGAGGGCACTAAATTGTGGATCTGGGGATCAAGGTGAGTCCTTGTTTTGTACTCACATTGTTGTGTATCAGATTTCTTCATCTGAAAAATGAGGAAATTGAACTAAACTATTTCCAAAGTCCCTTCAGCTCTTGCAATAATGGAACTATTTCTAAGAAAGAAAGACACACTTGTAATTGCAAATGTCAGAGCTATTTCTAGTTGTGTGACATCACAGCTTTTACTTACAGAATTGTGTTTAATTGAATAGGTCCAGATTTAGAAGTCTGCTTTCAAACTTGTTGATTTTCTGGAAATGCCTAACCCATTACAAGAATCCTAGATGACTCTGGCCCAGCAAAGATAAATTCAGGACAAGTTCAATCTGTCTAGATGTCTGTAGACTTTGGGACAACGAGAAAGGACAAATTATAAACTCGAGATTCTAGGCAGAGTCCTACAGAGAGTAGGGAGAAGGACTTCTGCATCTCATAAAGAGAGCACTCATTTAGACCTGTTTGTAGGAATCACAGATGAGGGAGGAATGTGGATCTCACTAAGAGCCATTCTTTTTATGTTTGTGTTATTACTTTCTTTTTTGGAATAAAAAGTTGGAAATAAAAGTCACATTTTATTTTTCCTATTCTTATCTTTGGATGAGGATTTATATCCATGCACCCTTCATCCCAAGAACCTCTTCTGAAGGTCAGCAGTGAAGCTTGAGTGGTTGTGGTCATAGATTTAGGTTGAAGGGTTACTATCAAAGACATGAAAGTATAAGACGCAGGCCGGGCACAGAAGCTCACGCCTGTAATTCCAGTACTTTGGGAGGCTGAGGTGGGCAGATCATGAGGTCAGGAGATTCAGACCATCCTGGCGAACACGGTGAAATCCCATCTCTAGTAAAAATACAAAAAATTAGCCGAGTGTGGTGGCACATGCCTGTCGTCACAGCTACTTAGGAGGCTGAGGCAGGAGAATCACTTGAACCCGGGAGGTAGAGGTTGCAGTGAGCCAAGATTGCACCACTGCACTTCAGCCTGGGCAACAAAGCGAGATTCCATCTCAAAAAAAAAAAAAAAAAAAAAAATGTATAAGATGTAGAGTGCCAGATGAGCAATAATACCAATGAGTAATTTTTGTAGCTTCTTTTACATGTATTATCTCAAAACTTCCTCAAAACATGGTCTCATAGATGAGAAACTGAATCCAGAAAGATAAAGTTACTTGCTTAAGCTTATAAGATTCTGGCTATTTCGTATTACCCCCAAATCTG